AAAAAACGTTGAGTGTTGAACTCCGAACACGTACGGCCAATCAGTGATAGAAATAGCCACATGCAATAACGTTGCGATGAAATTACATTTCTTAATAGATCTCCTTAGCTTTTAAATCATTTCCCCCTACAGTGGCCCTTTTTGAAATGGAAATTTCTACACGAAATGAAATATTGCAGAAGCTCTTTTGATTGTATGACAGTTTAGTTGATTTAAAAGGAACGAGGCCGTGATATTATCTCAATCTCGGGGATTTTACAGGGATTTTTAACTTCCATAGAGGCCATATTTATTTGCTTTTTTTGTAAGTCTGCTACAAAGAAAGAAATTCTACGAATACAGATCAGTTCAGTAGTGCTACTAATGCCTTGTTAAACATAAAATGTAATGCGTGTGATAAACGATCGCTTTTGCATCAGTCTATGTAAGACATAATTAATCATCTGTTTTAGGTTCTTTTTCATGATTACACTGTTAACTGATTATTAACTTCCACGGAGGCCATTTTTATTTTCTTTTTTGTAAGTCTTGTATAAATGGTAGCTACGCAAAGAGAAATTCTTCGAAGAGAGATCAGTTCATTGGTGTAGTTATACCGAGTTTCTTGTTAAACCTAGAATTCAGTGCGTGTGATTAACGATCGCTTTTGCATCAGTCTAAATCAGGCATAATTTATCACTTGTTTTAGGTTCTTTTTCATGATTACACTGTTAGCTACGTTTAAACGTATCGAATGTCCGATATAAAAGAATTCAAAAGCGTAGTAGAATATCTCTAGAACGAAGACAATCTTTTTGGTTTATTTTTATTGCAGCCTACACACTATTAATTGTTCAACAATATATTACTCTGAAGTATGTTGATGCATAGTTGAAAGTTGTGTAATTTGTGTTTTCTATTTCTATTTCTGTATTTTTTCTATAGTCTATCGGTTGTGTGGTGACGTGTAGGATCAAGTCAATTATTAAATAGAAATCATCATGTTAAAATATGTTGTTGTAACCATAGAGCTATAGAGATCCATGGAATGAGAATTTTCACTTCATTATTTAAAGCTTTACTTTTTATTTTGGTATTTATAATTCAATACAAATTATTACCAATCACTTATCAATCATTATCAATAACAAATTATTCTTTCTATTATGATTATCATTATTATTATTATTGCTATTATTATTATTATTATTATTATTATTATCATTATTATTACCGTCATTATCATCATTATTATTACCATCATCATCATCATCATCATTATCATCATCAATAATTTTTCATTATTACGGTTATTGTTATTTTATTATTACTATAAATAATTTTATTATTATTATCATTATTATTATTACTAATATTATAGTATACTATTATTATATTATTAGTAGGCCTAGTAGTTTTTCGTCATCAGTATTATTATTTGATATCATAGGCCTACACTATAGCACTAAATCAACAAAAGCATTAGCACATAAATAAAAAGAGATCGCTATCAGCAATTTTCTTATCCAGATTCCAATTTCAATTTTTTCCCCAACGGTTAATTGACCTTTCCGGAGTGTCAATCAAACTTAACAACTGACTAATCAGAACAGCGCTTGGAATACGCGCGCGTCTCACAAACACACGTGTTGTCCCACAAACGCACGTGTTGGCGTATGCTTTAACACTGTCGTCTTGTGGGACCTTAGCAACAATATCCAAGGGGCGGAGCTTAGCGGAAAGGTCCATTGAATATAGCTACCATGTCCTATTTTAGCTTAATGACAACGTACAGTGTCTTCCACCGGTTGACATATTCATTCTAAGAGTTATATATCTGCTGACTTGCATGTAGCGACGCATTGAAAGAATCTTAATTTTAAGATATAGGTCAGAATGTTTGACATTACCATATAATTCAAATATATATTAGTTTCGTAGTGCTCCAAGAAACGCGGTCCGCCTTTGTGTTGACAATGGAAAATAACCCTGGTTCTTAATTAATTTAGGCCTTTACTTGAAGAGCCAAATTATTTTTAGATTTTCGATGTCACGGGCCAAAGAAAGCTTCCCGGTTTCAAGTATCCTGTTATGAAACACCCATGCTTTTTTGGTTTCAAATTCAATTCTATTTTAAATTGTAATACAGTACAATGTGACACTAACTTCATTATAATTTTTGCACCATAAGATTGATATAATATTTGGCCAAACGTAGACACTTCATTTCGCTATTTCTTGCATATTGATCTTTTATTTTATGCTTATTAAAGTCATCAAAAGAAATTGGTAGCGCCAATATTTGCCTAACGGCAGTGGAGGACCGGTTTCGCAAAACTCTAAAGTGTGCCCAGGGGCTAAGCTCATGGAAGCTCTAACAATTTAGTAATTTAGAATGTTTAAGGCCCGTTATCTATCTTACATCCTCACACTCTGTAAAAGTTACACATTATTTTTTTCCTTAACGAATGTCTCTCTGATGGGAATCTGCCTCCGCAACTGGCACCACTTTAATTCAATTTACAGTTTTTTGGGGGGAACTGACGGCTTTAAGTACTTAGCATGTAAAGTGGTAAAGTGCCGAATTCAAAGCAGTCCTCGAATAGTTTCATAGACCTAATAATAAAAAGGCTTATACAGATTTGAAATTAAAAAAATAAAGCATATTTTCATATACCTAAATACCTCGCATGGTCGCTGGACTTTTAATGTTGTCGGTGATTGGTAAATAAACTTGTCATTGTCTTCTTTCCTTTGTGCAAGTGTAACTGTGGGAGAAGTAGTCCTATCGTTTCCTAAATTGGACTTTATTTTTTACTACAAAGTTAAAATATATATTTTGTTCTACCAAATTGACCTTGCTTCTTATACAATATTAATACAACAACTTCCTGGTAATAGTAATCCTGTAGGAATATTTTAAAACCAAACATGTAGTTACAGGCATAAACGTGACAAAACACAGTCATACAAAGTTTGTTCAACTTAATAGTTTGGCAGACAATCGGTATTTCCTGTGTAAATTCAACCATCCCATATCCACCTAATACCAGGGCGTTAAAAGCCTAAAAACATTTCGCATGTAAAATTGCGGGTCTACTAAAATAAAAACAAGTGTCTGATAAAGTTTTTGTTTTTAATTTGCTGTCATATAGCTGAACTAATACTACCAATCTTTTGGCGTTTGTCGATTGGTTGGTAGCGGACTTAATTCTAGATATGGGGGGGGGGAGTCACCCCTACTTCACATTGGCCTAGTGTTGGGTTTTCGCCTTCACTTTATTGAAAAAATATTCATCGAATGGTTATTAATTTCAGTTTCTTTAAATATATTTTTTATAATTAAATTGTTTCTCGCGGGACAGAATAGTTGCTTTCCTGGCCAAATTTGGCACGCTGGCCGCCTATTAGAACCATGAGTCTATAAGTTGTATTATATATTTTTATATGGCATTTTTTGTATGCGAGCAAAGATTTTCGTAGACGGGATCAATAAAGTTTTATTTTATATTAACTTACAAGATCTGATCGAAGTCAACTTGTCGAGATTATGCTTAAAGAAGTCAAAGTTGCAATTATTTTTCTTTTTCTTATCACATCATAATTTTACATGGATTGTGTGCGGTAATTGTGTACTGCTAACGAGTAGTGGAACTCTTACATTGATGTAGTATAAATGACTTTGTTACGGTACTACGTCATCTAATAAATATCCAACGTACACGTCAAAATATTACATTAAATGACAACTGGCGTGAAAATATCTTCCGTTACTAGGTGTTATTATCCCCTCATTTCATCTTTCTCGGCCTGCAAATTGGGCTAATTGAGATAATGTGCGTACGAGAGTCAACTCATACCACTTTGTCACGCGCTGTACATTCTATCACATTGTGACTCAGTATATCTGACATAATGGACATATACCATCATCTGCCTTGAACGTGCCTCAATTTGAAATTAACAATGATGTGAATATGCTTAAATACTAAGTAAGTTATTCTTAATTATAAAACGAGTAAGTTTAAGTATTTCAACCAAGTCCTACATCATATACATTTTCAAGGTAATTACACTATACATATTGTATACTATGCATTATAAACCACACACCGGCTGATTTTGATTACCATGATATTACGATCAACTGAAATACATATATAATTACGCGTTTCAGAATTATGAATGAGTACGTTAATATGGGCATACTTAATTGGAGTTATGGTTATTTCTTTTGCTGATATCTAGGCCTACATAATGCTCTATTCGAGTAACAATATTAGTAAATTATCTTCAAAAGCTGGTTGATATATTTAGAGCTTCGCTGCCACATTGGGGCTGAATGACAAAAACTTGATATCGATTTCTCCCTCTGTGAAATGCATGTTGAGCTAATAAATCCTAATCTAGCTTTGCTCTGTGCTTTAATCATTGTATAAAAATCCAACTTAACACAATTTGAATTATTAGTAGGACTATGAAACCTAATTAGTGTAGATTGAATTGGCCAAGTACAATGCCCCACTCAGTGACAAAAAAAATATATCCAGAGCCGTTGTGTATAATGAATGTGTATGTATGTATTATTATTTATGTTTAAAATGTTTTATCAGCAACTTTAAAAAATCTTCCGTATTATGTTTGAACGATTATATCAATTAATCAAATTTAATGATGAATTCATATTTAATGCAACTGTGTTTAAATACCGTACATGTTTATTGTACAAATCTGTAAATTAATCTTTAATGACTAATGCAAAGAATATAGAAATGATATTAATAAACAAATAAATAAAATAGAATAAATAAATAATATATGTAAATGTTATTTGGCAACATTTTTTATTTTAAACGGAAACTAATAATAATCATAATATATATATTTATATATGTATACATAGGCCTATATATATATATATATATATATATATATATATATATATATATATGTATAGTCAATTATTTCAAATATTGTCTTATTGTTCAAATGTTTACTAAGAGTTTCTCATGTTTATTTAGGAGCCTGCAGAACACTAATATATGGTTCAACAGACTTTCCGTGCGAAGAGGATGATAACTGTTTGTCAAACCTTCCTGTCAGCATTTCAACATCACAGAAAATAACCTCAACTGATGTGGGTGACGATTCAACACCTAATTCAAATATCAATGGTACGTGAACTTCATTTCTGATTTTATAATGTATAGTGACGCAACTATAAGAAATTAAATCTAAAAATCGAGTACTGTAATTCAAATACGCTTTGACACAAACGCAAGCAACGCAACGTATTACTGTAAGCATGGAGGGAAAAAATAAAGCAAAGACTGTCAGTGTGAACTATTTGAAATTTGACGCGTGACAAACGTAAAGGGCAGTTGGTTGACGCAGCCTAATGTAATCTCTACGATGCTCACCAATAATTTTAGCAAGGAGGAGGAGACATCATTTGCACATCCGCGTACCATGAAGATATACTTTAGTGTGGCGATTAATAAAAAATAGCGCATATTTCAAATTAGTGATGTGTGTTAATATGGTATCATAGATAATTGTACATAGCATAGGCCAACATAGCATAGTAACTCAGGATTAATGTCACGACGTTTATTCAAAATAGGTCTATACCCCAGGATATAAAGTATCTTGAATAAATATCGCGGTGCTTATTCAAGAGCGGCGCTAATTTCGAGATAAAATGAAGCCTTTTTTACCGTATTGCGTTTATGTTGTCTAATGTGTGTTAATGTATATAAAGCTGTATTTATATAGTCTGCGTTTATTTATTTATTTATTTTTTCAGAATCGCTGAACCAATCTGATAGAGAGATATTTTTCCATTCGAACTCAACAATCAGACTAGACTGTCCACGGCTGGGTCCTAACCACGAGCGATTCAGTGGCAAATACAGATGGACAAAAATTAAACCAAACGTTGAAATTGTAGGTAGGAAAGCATATCAGTCGACCGTCTATATGAATCGATAAAAAAAAAATGATTAACGACTTTCTCACATCCCTATACTTACAAGTGTTGACATAGTGATAGCCAACTGTCCAATCGTTAAAATATATATAAAGGTCAGTTCTAAGTTAAAAGATCCTCCGTTGATTACTTGTAACAGCGGCTTTTAAACAATTAAACATATCCATATTTAACTCACAGTTATCAGTCTTGTTTAAGGTGTTCTATAGATCATATTAATGTGTTGCCTTTTGGTTTTCTCACGATGATGTGCACGTTCATAATGTTATAAAAGTGAAAGGTCGCATTCGTACCCACACATGATTTTACTTAGATATATTAACATCGTGTAATTCTTGGTACAGGAGAGTTTTCTTTAAAGTGGCAGTCCCCCATTAGCACATCATAACTTGAATTGAATTCAATAATTAGCTGGAACGTCATTTTCGGACAGTCAGTCAGTCAACCAATCTGAATCAATCAATTAATAACAAATCAATAATCAATCAATTAGTCAAACGATCGATAAATTAATCTATCAATAAACCATTTTGTTTAACCAACCACATAACCAACAAACCAACCAACCAAAGAATCAATTAATCAATCACTCAGGCAGTCGATCAATCAATTTTTATAGCATCCATCATCTAACCAAGTCAATCAATAAATCAAGCATCCATTAAGCATTGTTAAATCATTCAATCAATTCATCAATCATTTAGTCAATCAATTCTTCAATTATTTAGTCAATCAATTAATCAACCCAATCATTTATTCAAGTTAAGCATATAAACATGACCGCTATGTAGCGCCGTAAATTCATTTAATTAAATGAACATGTTTGACGCTACGCGCTGCTACAAACAATCACAAAAGAGAAATTCAGAATGTTTGTATTATTAACAAATGTGCAGGTACGAAAATGGTGCGACTGCCACTTTATGAAATTGTCAAATATCCTAATGATGACTTGTAGAAAACACGACGCCCCAGGTTCGTGTGTCTTCTAGAGTCATATCCTTTTCTATCTCCGGCAGTGCTCAGTGAAGGAGCTGAACTACTTCGACGGACTCACCTGCAATTAACAGAAAACAAAACACATTATGTGGTTACCATTCGAAATGCAAAAGTCAAAGATGTGGGATCATATCAATGTACGATAGGCGACTCGATCATTATTCAGACTATACATGTTTATATGATAAGTAAGTTATGTTCATATATTTCATTACAGATTAAGGCGTCATAACATGACATTACAAGCAGGTGTCATAGCAATAAAAACTGTAAAAACAGCGATTCAAAGCTTCAAATATTCGTGCCCTGCTTTTTGTCACATGTTTAAAACTTAACGTGTTTAGATTTAAACTATAATGCGCTTGTAATCATGAAGTGTATAAACAGGGAACAGTGGTATAACATTTTAGTTGTGTTTATTTACAGTATTTTGACATAGGCCTATGTATTTTGATGTAAATACTTTATTAAATATATATATGCTAAGCATAACACGTATCATAGAACAAACATTACTCCGAAAAAAGATAGGGAGGTCGAATAATTTAATTAAATAAACAGGTATAAGAACAAGATTAGAGAAACTTTAAGCCTGTTTTAGGCGAATTATTCTCTCGAATCGAAAGCGTCGGTTCATGCTCATTCACATTTCTATTGGCGTTTTTCGCTTCAGCGAAATCAGTAATTGGAATTGTTTCTCCTTTTTGTGAAGCAGACAAAATGTGCAAACAATCAGAGCTCAGGAAGCGAATCGACGCTTTCGATTTGCGCGAATAAATTCGCCTAGTGGAAAACAGGCCTTGTGTCTAATCTAAGCACTGATTTTACATAGAATATTTGGGATTCTTCCAATCATCAGGGTTTGGGTCTGGAACTGACTACTGTATTTGTCTGTGTGCTTGGGCACGACACTTTATCTCCGTTGTCAGACTTCACCCAGGATATTTGATAAGTTCGAATGTCAAACATTATCACATGCTCAAACATTATCGGATAATCATCCAGACAGCCAAAATGAATACACAGATGCGCTATAACATCGCTCGCATGCCCACATCATCCTCTACATGAGAACCGCTCTTCTTATCGCCCTATTTTTTGCCTAACAGTACCCCTTTTGTGGTATTGTATTCATTGTTATTGTGTATTTTCAAGTACAAAAAAGATATATAAGTACTCTCAGTAAAAAGTACAGTGTTTCCAATATTTGTATATTTTATAAGAATACATTTAATTATTTAGATTTCTTTCACGAGGTAGGTAGCTCTTCAACAAACATTGACTGATAGAAGATAGTAATTACTACACGTACAAGACACTACAAGCAGTAGGCCTATCAATAATTGATAACACGAACAAAACACATGACACTAATAATAACACGTACTGTAACTTAATATGAATAAAGAGTGTTACAACATATTAATTTATTAGTCTGAGGATATTTAAGAATTAAAGATACCGCTATCACACTGTGCCTTACTTACTTCCAGTCCCATGTTAGGCTTCTTCTTTCTGTCAGTATTGCCAGCCTTCTTCAATTAACTCTGACCATCCCCCCTCCCCCATCCTTTCTTCTCAATTCCTATTCTGATATGGTAGACATCTTCCTATATAAATGTCTTAACTTATGTTTATTCAAAGCTGTCTTGGTCTTCCTCTCGGACTTTTTACAATTGGGCCTCAATAGTTTTGCTACTAGATCTCTCGTCATCCATACTTTCAATATGAACAAGTTTAGCTGCTCTACTTTACTTTTTTGTGGATGGATCTACCATTCTACAGATCTTTACAATTCTCTCTTAATCCATTCTAGTCTTGTTTGGCAGTGTCCCTGCTGGGCATATTGTCAGTTTTTAGCTGAAATCTTCTGAAATTCATATGTAGTTTTTAGCTTTTAACAGAACATTAGGACTAGGAAATATTGTTTCTCCCAGAGCAATTGATTCATAGGTTTACTGTCCCTATAAACTAGAATAGCCTGGTGAACAGTTTTTTTTTATAGTAAAATTCTGTGAATCAGTAAAACAACATTGTTTTGATATACAGTTAGGGGCCATTCACAATTATCAGCATTTTCGCAAGTGTACAAAAAGTATGCTGGAGGAGGTGTAGAACAAATGTGTACACTTTTAGATATGCATGAAAATGTTGATTCAAACTACATGAAAAATGTTTAAAATAATAGATTTTTATGACTAATTATAATGCAACCATGGATACACTTTTAAGTAACAAAGTACAGTATTAGTTGACTTCATTAAAAAATGGAGAATGGTTTTGCAAAAACAACATTGTTTATGTACACTTTCAGAGGGGAGAGAAGGATTACCGAAAAAGAGTACTGCTTGTACAAAAAAAAAATGTTGATAATTGGGAAACCATTAAGATTATAACGTATTTCATCATGATTTTACGAAGATCAGTAAGTACGTTTTTAATTATAACTTTATTTTTTTGTAGATCAACTTTGCTCAGCCGGCTAACCTGGAGGTAGCCACAGCGTGCGCACTGGTCCCCGGTCCAATTCCCATCGCTGTTATCCTTGTGTTTCAGCTGGATGGCTGAAATGCAAGTTACGATAGCGCACCGTCTTTCGGATGAGGCGTTTAAGTCATTGGTCCCATGTGCATTATGGCCCATGTGCACGTAAAAGAAAGCAGTACACTCTTCAGGAAAAAAAAATAGGGAGTGTCTCCCAGTGTACCACCCAGTCACCATCAGAAGGACCCCACTGGAAATAGGTCTTCTTGAGACTTTCGTTGGTTATCATTGGTGTTTAGCACCAAATAAATCGATCCATCCATTTAATGCGTTTATCTCTATATTCAAAATGTGGCCTAGGCTGTATGGAGACGATTTTTCTATTGATTTTATTCTCAATGAAAATAGAAATCATTGTTGCCGAGTGACATTTTTGGCCTTTCATTCAAATCAACACTATAGTAAAAATCGAAATAATTTGTCGTTTTAAAAACGTTGTTTTCCTAATTTTTCGAAATCATCATCCCAAATAATGTGCAGATGTGCAGATAAAGAAAATTGAATAACTTCTTGTGAGCGTAGGTATACAGAAGGTCTTTGTTGCAATATTTATAGAATTTATATTTTTACTGTATTAATTTTCATGGTGCATTTGATTAATTGATTTTTAAATATAAAATCTGTCCAGGAACTTTGCATGTTGTGTACAAGATGCGGATCACTGGTGGTCATTCCCTATGTCTCCTGAACAGATGCATAAATCTATAACTATATTAAGAAGCACATAATATTGATAATTATAGCTACTATTTTTTCTTGATAAATATATTAGGCCTTATATGAATATGAGTGTTTATTATGTTATAATAAAATATATATATACATATATATATATATGTATATATGTATATATATATGTGTATATATGTATATGTATGTATATGTATATATATACTATATATATATATATGTATATGTATATATATGTATATATATTTATATCAAATATATATACCAAATGGTAGGGAGTAGAGTGTCTTGTTAGGAAATAATTTGGTGTCTAATTTAATTTATCTACGTTGTTTGTTATTATAATATGCTGAATAGTGTGAACGAAATCAGAGAATCGTATGGTCCACACCAGCATGTCTTCCAGATTAGTTGAGAATTTTTTTTTTTCCATAATGCTCGAATGAACTGTTGGTCATATGTGAACTATGTTGCATACTCAGTACATGTGAGAGTTTGATTAGGTACACGCAGACTAATTTAATGACAGGTTTAATAAATCAATGAGTCGAATAAGTAATTTATTACAAATTTACTTGCGAAATCAGCCAGTGTGTCTTATTTACGACTGTGTCTGCAAGACATTTCATTTTGTAAAAAAAAAAAAAAAAATACGGTGTACTTAGTTTACCCCTGGAGGTGGCAAATATCCGATCTACTTAACCGAACGCTTTTAACCGATTACTCAGAGCTTGTCAGAAGACTCCACGCAGGAGAAGTGTTACGAATTGAGTAAACACAATAAACACAGGAATTGATCAAGTGATTTTAAATGTACGATAAGAAATATCTTACTATTCGCGGTCGTATTCTTTGAGTGACTGAATAAGGTTAAGTATACTTATGGGTAAAAACATTTTATATAGCATTCTCATTATCACCTTGATACAGTACTACGGGCATAATTACTACAATTTCTATAGACTATAGTTCGGCAAACAAGAATGGACTACTGATTAAACATGGCTTGTTACTAAATGGAGCTTTTAGGCAGTAAATACATTATCATCTTGAGTCCATCCCAGCATTCTTTCATATTTTTCGGAAAAGAACCGAAAAGTTTTCAAAACACATTAACTTTAAAGACTCAATTTTTATATCTTACAATGCGTGTTTAGAGCATCACATGCAGATGTTGTTTGATCAAATTCAAAGAAAAGCAAGCAGCAAAAACATTTTCTTATATGCCTACACACGCAATGTAAATAATAATGCATTCACATGTGCTTGATAGTATAGTCGTTAAATTTAGCAATGAATTGGTGATTTAAACAGGGAGGTATCTTATTTTTATACCTCCCTGGGTAAAATACTGCCTTCATTCATTGCAAGTCCATCCATTTAAGCGGCTAAGACGATGTCTTGAGGCACTTTTTCTTGTTATTGGTCAAATTTTCTGATAGAGTGGCTCTACTCAGCAAAGTCAACTTTGATACTGTTAAGTCTACACCAACGGCAGTTCGTTCTGGTGTTAGGCCTACAGAAGGTTGTGTAATCAATCCGGCGTAGCTCTTTTTACTATTTAATATATCAACTCCCCACTATTATATGCAACCACTATTATATATATATATATATATATATATATATATATATATATATGTATGTATATATATGTATATGAATATATATATACATTCTAATATTATTATAGATTGTTTGTCGGCACAGGTAAAGGTCGAAAAATAAAGTTAAAGTTCTAGCTTATTTCAACTTGTTCAGAACAGGCAAATAAGGAGCCAATGAATAATTATTAAATTGAACAAGTGCGCGGCGAAGCCAAAAAATGCTTTGTAAGTTTGCCTTTGCAATTAACGATAAATTACTCAAACTTGACAGATTCGACCGCACTGAGAGTGGTGGTATGTAGACACATACGGTAATTATTAGTGCAGAAACATACTGAAATGGATGAATTACCAAAAAATGTCAAGATATTTTTTAAAGTCAATTTTAAGATTTTTACAAGCTCATTTGAATATACAATTTTCAATTTAAAATGGCAACAAAACTTAATAGCTCAATATATTTGCTTTGAAGTTAGTCGTAGTAGAAAGAAGTTGAAAGTATAATGAGATAAAAATGTTATTGGTCATTATAATATTAAAACCTTCTCTGGCCTACAAAATGGCCTGCCTTTTGAAATAAATATGAATCGCATTATTTTTACAGAAAAACTTTATGAACAAGAATGGGATGTCACTTCTCAGTGAAAGTTAAATATGCACGCATTGTAATTCAAAAATTTTCAGGCCTAAGAACATTATGGTAAAGAGTATACGGTTATCATGACGGTTAATGCATGATAGAGACTTAAATAGCTTTTTTCCGGATAACAGTATAATTGACAGTGAGATATTTATGAGTATTACCCCCAAGCAATAATACAGTTTAGGTAAGATGATATCAGAATTGTGTAGATATGTCTCTTATACACATCTAGATGTGTAAACAAAAATAAGAATAATTTTCGTTTTATTAACTGAAATATTGATAATCTAAGATCTAGTTTTTCACTGATACCAATTAAAGATTAAATAATTATGAGAAAAGTCTGTAACGTTGTGGACCGCATCAGCAAAAGTTTAAGGTTCTTCACACTAAATGTATCCCATAATAAATAGGTTATACAGTAATCACGTTTCCATGGACGTAATCAGGTAAATACTTTTGAGTTTTATCCAGATATCTGTATTTTGGCGTTTCTGCAAAACTACTGTACTTCAATTTGATCGACGGACCGGGCTACAAGTACTTAGTGAACTTTATTAAATATGCCAATCGCGGTTGGAAGTTCTTTCAAATATCATAAAAAAATATCTACAAACTTAAAATGGCACAAAAGTTGTATTCATTTTATTAGGTTCAATTATTCTGCGGCAACAGTCGTTGAAAAGCAACGTTGAATGAACTCGGTGTGCTTCAGTTAGAGAAAATATAGTAAAATATACAATTCAGAAAGTATAGGCCCATGGTCTTCACATGTATTCCACACGTACCAAAACCTTAATCTGAAGTAGGCGGAAGTGCGATGATCAGGTCACACTTATAAGTTCGGAGTAGGTTAGCATTTGCCAGGTCGCATGTCTATTAAATATCAAATCTAGACCCAAACTACCACAGACAACGAAGTATAATAAACAGCGAGATATATTGTTTTGGAAGGACTAGTTCGTTTGGTCTTGTTTCATTAAATAAAAAAAGAACGAAATTTCCTAATGGAAATCCATTCCATTCCGATTTATTACAGGCCAAGAAAAATACTCCTCTAATTTTCTACTGGGACACGTTTCTTTATTTTGAAAGTTATTGCATTATTATGGAAAAAAATCCTTGTTTAGTACAAGTAAATCAATTTCATAAAATTGCCAATCAAGCTTAAAATTCGATCAATCAGAACAACTTATCCCAAAACCACACATGTTGTTCCACAGACCACGTGTTGGGTACGTTTACGCCGTCTTTTGTGAGACCTTGACAAAACATTATCCAAGAGGCGAGCTGAAAGGTCCGTTGAACTGCCTGGGGTTAAACCTCTGATGAGGAAAATATTTTTGTCGTATAATATATTATAAGAACAACAGAACGTGTATATCTTTGATAAACATTAAAGAATAGGCGCAAGGTAAAACAATTTACTAATATTTCTGAAAACAATCTACTACTATTTCTGAATTTCTGAATTGTATTTTTTGCATTGAGTGTAGTTTATGAATAACATCATTAGGCCTGAGAATCAACGATAGATTATTACCAGGACAATGCTGAGTATCGACTACAATTCATTACAATATTTCAATTTCAATTTATATCTTACTACAGCCATCAGGGGCTAATATCGGCACAACCTTTCCAAATAGACTCCTTCAATTCAATACAATTATTTAGTACAGCATGTTATTGCTCGAATATCGGCTAAAATTGCATTTCAAATTTTGTGTAAAAGTCATATGATGATGGTGATGCTGATGATAGTGGTAATGTTGCTGATGATGATATTGATGATATTGATTAGAGGTGATGATATTGATGATGATGATTAGTGGTGATTATGATGACGGTTGCAATTATGATGATGTTGAAGGTAAAGATTATCATAATGCACACACAGTACGTTTATCATCACATACCAACATTCAATGTCACAACATTTTATATTTCTTGGTGAAGAAAGAGACTTAGATAAAGGGCAGTGCTCAAAAACCAATGTACAGAGATTGATTCTATTACCCAACCTCAAGATTGAGAGCCAAAACACCAACCGCTGCACCAACATCTCCTACTATATCATCGCACTTTGGGCTTGGTTTTCTATAGTGTAGGGTGTAGTAGCATTCTTGCGTTTACGTCAACGTGTATTGTTCTAGTGTGAATCTTTACTGTACAGAACCTCCTTTGAGTAATAGTCCGGCGTATTTTGGTTGTCATAACAACTTTTGCTGTTGAGCTTCCTAATGTTAATTCTATGCATGACAATGTCACTACTCATTTATAGGCCTAATATTTTCGATTATTTTTCTATTATCTTATCGTTCTTTTATTATAACCACGATTATGATTGAAGTTAAAACGTTACGATTCTTTATCTTTCAGAAGAGCCTGTGATTACAAGTATAGAACCATTATCTAAACCACACTTGCACTCTAGCAATCCGAACGTTAGACTGTTTAACCTCAGTACACAAATGATATTGGTCTGTTTTGTGGAGGGATATCCCCCGCCGGACGTTACGTGGTCTCGTCCAGGCGGTCAGCCTCTTCCGGTTGAAAGCCAGCTGATACCCGACAAAGAATTTTCAACGTTTATCATAGCGAATATACAATTAGAGCATGCCGGGATATATGTGTGTTTTGCAAACGATTCTTTAGATCAGGTGGTTAAAAAGGAGATCGAGGTCATAGTTCAATGTAGGTCTACCAAGTTTTCTTGTTTTAAGATATTGTATTGGTTTTACATTAGATAATTTGAACGTTTACTCGGTTTATTTATTATTCAGTTATGAAGAAGTTAAAAGATGCTATGTCGTCATGTAATACCAAAAAATGCCTAACATGTCGTATTTTAAACAAGAATTCAAGGGGCATATTCGGGACCCTTAACTATACATAATTCTTTATTTTTTATTAAAGTTATTCGTGTTTTAAAATAGGAATTGGTGTTGATTTCTTGTTACTACTTCTGTTGCTTTGTTTGTCTTAACTTACTGTTTGTTATCTTGATAAAATCTATCGAAAGTGGGACAGTAGGGCCTAATATTTTATGAGCTTTTTGCATCTGTATTTGCTAACAATCAATAATAGGCATGAGATGCCTTCCAATTTAAAAAAAAGTCGAGTTCACATTATATTTTAACATATGAAGAAAACTACAAAGTAACTTTTAAAATTACTTCCATTTAATCTTTTATATGCCTGAAGAGAATTAAAATCCATCCAATATTTGTAGCACGTTGCCGTTTTAATGTGCTCTGATACAGTATATTTTATATAAAAATCATTTTAATTAATATTATTGCCGTCGATATAATTCTCATTATAAGTGACAGTTCATTTAATTTAAACTATAAGCATTAAACCTGTCTCTTATACACATCTAGATGTGTATAAGAGAGGTATGGTGATGCGGAGGTCGAATGCGTGGAAGATAGATATAATATTTTTCCTCATTTTATCGCATTGTCTTGGTGATGAACTGTTCATCACCAAGACAATGCGATAAAACGTTGGTTTTGCCGAGTATTGGGATGAGGGAGGAGAGGACGAAGGATCCGACAAGTTCGCATATTTCGGCCCCGTCAAAGCTTCCCATTGTAACGTCAAACATGTCATCCGAGTTTTTCTTGGTCCATGTTGAATCGTTACCAAACAATATTGATTTTCGGGAGTGCATGATGACATTTGCTTCGTGTTCGGAGATGCTGGTGTACTTTCGTGCGTACTGGATCGCATCTGTTAACAATTTTTTTGTGATGGATGGGTAGAATTCCACGATGTCAAAGGTTCATATATATATATATATGAACTGCTTGTTACCATGTCTTGCTCTCAAATGCTTATAAGAAATAGGTGTATCATATTAATCTCTGTTATTTGCAATGCATCAAGGAATAGTGCTGTCCGAATACGCATATTCGTGAGTGTGAGCGATTAGATGCGTCTGATCGAATTTGAATTCCCTACAAAGTCTCAGTCGCCCAGTAAGGCGTCTGCACTAACAAAAGAAAGTCCTGGGTTTAAATTCTAACACATACATATATAGGACCATATATACATAATTATTTACCATCAACTTCATTTTCTAGTCAGGCCGTCAGCTACTTCTTCGAAAAGTCTCTTGAGAAAAAGTTTAAACGACGAATATGTTACACTAGAGTGCAAGGTGAACGCAATCCCCAATGCTACATTTGAGTGGTTGAAGGACGGCGCTCCTATAGACAGATCGCGGGACAAAAAGCAAATCAGGTGAACAAAATCTTTTCGTCAAATATATGTTAATTTAATTTTTGATAATAGGGAATTTTTGCAAGTCTACGAAAACGATAACGAATACGGTTACGTCATCAAATATTTAGTAAATATATCCCCTACAGTAACAACAACGTAGACCATCCATGCCTTTTACATGAATCAAGGATCATATTCAGGTGGTATATGTATGGTCAATTATGTTTTAGGCACGAGAGAAGATAATGAAGATGACGCATTCGTATCGTTTTCGTAATGCGAAATCTCACTAACGCATGCAACTTATGGTTACGAGCTCGGTACGTGCAGCTTGGTACAGCTCAATAATAAAACGCATGATTGTTACATTTACAAGCAGTCTAGCAGTCGATTAAATACAGGATCAAAGTTTAATAATGACGCCAGTTGTGTAAACTGCCACTTTAAGGAAAATGCAAAAAGAACTGATATAACTAACGTTTACGTGGCCTGTAACCTCTGAAATAATTCAATAAAATAATTCTATTGCTTTTTGATCATGTTTTCACAGGTTCCCGGTGTATTGCGAGGATGACGGCCTCATGAAGTTCGTTCTGAAAATCGTAAAGCCAAGAGATTATGGAAACTACACGTGCTTAGCTACGAATCGACTTGGCAATGACAGTTCCTTTATTATATTATCAGGTACATATAGGCCTACATTATTTAAACTATACATTCTCAATTCATCCTAAGTAGACCCTACTGTTAATGTTAAAGACAATTTCTCATATCTATATTGAAATAATTGTGCGTCTTACAGGTACAACTATTAACAACCCCTTTCTTGGCCGTCTTTTGAAAGTTTGTCTATTCGTTGATGTTCACCTCTCATTTGCCTGCTCTTCTGAAACATGTTCAATTTATCCAGCGTACAGCCGTGTTAATAAATGTAGAAGAAGGTATTTCATCTATGTCGCAATATTTGTGTTGGACAGGCATAAATACAGATTCAGATTACTTTATTGCCATTAAAAATGTAGTATGACATCATTAAATAATAAAAGACATAAACAATTTGCACTAAGCATAGGCCTATTTAAATATGCAGGTAATTTAATTACTGTACCTCCAGTAAGAAGAAACATATACATAGACAATCGAAACAATAATATTACAATAAAAATCATTTAAAAAACTAGACAACAACCTAAATTAAAATGGTTTGGTGATAATTAAGTCGAGGTTTACTAAGTCGATCTTATTTTGCCAAATTGTTGTGTTTTCCATTAATAAACAATCGAATTAGTCGAATTTTATCTAAGTTGAACAATTTTTCAATGGCATTTTAGGAAAGCTCTTGTAGCTAAAGCAGAGTGGAATTAGAGATGTATGAGGATAGGATTAAGGTTTTAAATTTTTTTTTTTTGAAGAGGCGGATGGCGGTCTTTAGACGGCTGTCTTTAGACAATTCATTATACCAGACAATACAGCAGAGTGATATAAATACTGATATTATCATGTCTTTATCTCCTTTTCACATGTGTCTTTTGAGAGGCAGTGAAAATTATACCTATCCGCCTCTTGATGTTTAACTCTCATTTGCCTGTTCTTCTGGAACATTTCGCTGCACCTTGTAATTCTATTTTGTCTTCAAATACTGATGTCCGAGACACGAGACCGTACCTCTTCAGTTTGAGTTTTGTTTATTTTCAGAAATTTAAAATTTAAGCGAGACTTTAAGTTTTATTGTACCTATATTTCATAAAAGGAATTAAACAGGGGTGGCGCCAGGGGGTGGGGCAGGGCACTCCGTCGGGGAAAAAACAATTCCTCGGGGAGAAGAAAAAATATATATGTATTGTGTACATTATTAGACTCTACAATCGATTAAATAAGCCTTTGAAACCCCTAAATTGTCAAAATTTCCTGGGGCATCGTCCCCGGCCCCTGTACCACTTTCGAAACATTATAAGCGACGCTCGACCACGCCCAAATTGCTCTCGTGTGGGAAATCTTCCTCCTCGTCGGGGACCTCGGAACCCCCGTCGGGCAAATCTTGGCGCCACCCCTGGAAGTAACGGAAGGAATGACATGTCCTCCTTTTGCCCACCATGTTTCGGATATCTAGTATGCTAGTAACTTTAGCGTATTTCCATATTGTCGTGGAATATTATTCCACCAGTCAACACACCATCTTGCAAACCTCTATTTGTCAAAAAGAATATATGAACACCTTCTGTAACATCTTATCTCTAAGGTCTCATTTGTATTTTCACTGTGCCTCGTTAATCCCCTCTGGGTGATAATCAGATGTACCGCCATCACCCCTCCCCTCGTTCAGGATATTTGGCACGAAGAGGGTCGAATTTACCATCGTTTCGTTACGCACAGATACCAAACTTATTAGCGAGTGCGTAGAAACAAATTCCTGTAAGTGACACCGCCTCTTCTGTACTGGTTGTCTCATGGCGTACAAAACGAAGACATAATTTAGTAATGCTTTATTCAGAGTCAGGCCTGATTTGACTATCTAAATAATGAGGTCTTAACATCGATGTATGTAATCGATAAGCAAAATTCAAATGCAGAACATTATACTTCAGGTTTTTGCTTTCGTTATTTCCAATTCAACTATACATTAATGAGAAATTTTATATTATTTTAATAATGAAAAAGAGGCAGAAGATATAATACTAGAAACAAGATACGCAGTACAATCCCATTAGGAATTAATAGGCCTATTATTATAAACTTATCCTAAGTATCATAATAAGGGCATAGGTAGTTCTAGTGTGTGTATGTATTTCAAGACGGTAATACCTAATTATCAATGTACATATAATAATATATCACTGTTGGATATGCTGACCTTAATGATGTCATCGGGAGGACAGGTAATAATTTCGAGAGCTTCATGGCATTAAAACGTCAGAAGGAGTATCCACTGTAATGCCAAAATATTTAATGTTGGAATTTGATGGACTAAAGAACAACCAATAGTGACTTTGGCGTTTTATTTCAGTACAGTTTGTAAGGTCTGATAAACATATCAATCTTGCGTAGAACAACGACTTGTAAACATTTCAAAAGGTAGACATTTTGGCACTGTATCAGTGTTAGAATGGAGCTGCAATACAATACTCGTGGCGTAGTTTTTGCGTGAGCAAACAGTTCACACAACTCAGACAAAATATTTTTTATCAATACAAATGATGAGATTCAATGTTCCTCCATTCGGCCGTGCATATCAAAATTGTCTGACAGATAATTTATAGTATATGTTTGTCTGTCAGATTCAAAAACGTTATTTTCAATTTTATCCGATAGCGTATGCTGGCTCCAGGCACCTGATCACACATTTTTTTGTTTCTTTCCATTTCAGGTAGATACTCGTGTTATATAAAAGTCTGCACAGATATGTTCTGTTCAGTCTGATAGACAAAGTTAATGTGTATACCCAGGAGCGTAACTCCTATGGTCTCTCGGCGGGAGGGGTCAAAGCCCCCAAGTCCTCCAGTTCAAATGGGCCCCGGAGTTCGTGAAAATAAAATTTGATTCACATATGATTCATGTTTATAATCACACAATATAATTATATTCTTAAACGATACTGACATTACCTTTAATGCAGTCTTTACAGCCTTGATATACATAATGTTACTTAGTTAGCGAATACATTACTGAACTTCACGTGAGCCTCAATAAGTTTTCAGCCCTGGGCTCACAACTCGTTGTTACGCCACTGTACCCGACTGATGAGCACATTTGTTTGTTAACATGTGCGAAAGATTTTACCTCAATCCTCTCCATTTATTTACTGGTGAATATGAATGAATCCAAGGAACAGTTTACATAACAATGAACGATGACGTCACCAGTCAATATTTTTATTTTGCTTTTATAAACACTCTTATATTTTATAGGCTTTTTTTAATTGCCAATGACTTTTTATACTTTTTTTTATTTAGCAGTGTGCAATGTAATTAAATTTAATAATTAAATCAAATATTTTAAATTATTTCTAATTTGTGAAATTGAAATAAATGAATTTACTTAATTACTTGTAGTTGTAGGTTAAATTTTAATTGCCTATTTCGCTTTTATAATATTTATATTTTGTAAGCAATATTGTTTCTTTTGTCAATATTTTATTTTATAGCTTTGTATCCTCATTTAGCATTTGAATATTCTAATATACATTTTTAATTTACTTGTAATGCTAGTGTATTTTAGTAAGGTATTTGTCATTTTGTTCATGCTAGTTTTATAATGGTGATCCTGGTTTATATTTTCTGTGTATTAATTTTGTGCTACCGCTTTGGATTTGTCGTTTTAATACCTCAATGAATAAATAAGTAATGCAATTGTCAAAAACAAACTGATTTAAGGCGGAAGATTTTTAGTTGCCTGTCCTCCTATTCTCAGTACTTGGTGGACTGAACGAAAATTAAGATAATATGGCTAATCTAATAATCTTTAAATATCATGTGGGCATAAATGAATGCAAGGATCAGGAAGAACAGGAATCAATCGGTTTTTTTTATTCATAGGCTATATATCAGCCATCTACAGAGAATTATATCGACCCTCCGTTTACAGCGTACTTTGATAGCATGGAATCAATTACCATAATTTTCCGTTACCTCCTTATTAAGGAACTCGTAATTTCGATAATAAATGCTGATGACATTCTATAAAAATCTACTAAACTTTGATTATTATCCTCCCAAATAGCAATAATTGTCCTACGGTTTGTTATTCGAGAAATAAAAAAAAAACAACGATAAAGGAAATTGCCTGTAATGCCTGGATAGTGATTACAAAACATACCCATAATTAAAAAAAATACATAAATTTTTTTCTAACGGCATGATAAGAGAGTATTACTTTTGTCACAAGAGTTGAAAATTATAATTGAACGTGAATTAACTATCTACTGTTGTTTTGTCTTTCTTCTTGGCAAAATACCTTAAAGCTGGAGCAAAGATCAATTCCTAGCGAAACGCTTTTAAAATCCGTTATTCCAAGAACAATTTATTATAGAATCATTTCGTTACGCGGTGTATCTTTTGAAAATAAAAAAGAATCATTCTGACAGCGATTATCTTCATAATAGATAATTATTTGACGCCCTACGGTAATGCATGCGCGTACGTTTATATTCAGGAGGACTGTAAAGGCTTATTGTAATGTAGATTTTGTCAGTAATGAGGTACAAGACTGAAGAAATAGTTCAGTGGTAAACCAGCTCTTACAGACAAACGTTGAAATGGTTTTCCGAAATGAAGAAATAACGTTTTTCACCAATAATAATTTCTGCCAATAGATTTTTTATTTCTTTTGATGTGTAATTTAAAATTTAGTCTACAGCAATGATTCAGGCCTATTGTGAACATTTTCTTTTTCCTGAAAATAGTATTACAGCTTTTTTTTTTGTAGAATGCACTATGTCTCTACATGAATGCTATTATTAATATTATTGTTATAATTATTATTATTGTTTCTATTGTTATTGATTTATTATTATTATTAATAATATTATCATCACCATCATTATCATCATTATTATTTATTATTTTTGTTGAACTTTGTTTAATGAGGTAGTCCTTACAGCTAAAAAACTGACTCAAGGAAGCCTTAACATTACTATGTTCTTATTATTAGTATCATCATCATAATTATTTTATCATCATAATTTTATTAGTTTTTAATATTATCAATAATGTATTACTATCTGACATACCTAATATTTATTTACTTTTCTTCTCAACACACCTTCATGGGGTAAAGCCAGGATCAACAAATGGAGATAAAAATTAGTGATCTAAAATAAAGAATAACATTATTGCTACTATTATTATCCCTATTATTATTTTTGAGCATTTATAACCAAACACAGTCTGAGGCTATGATTTACTATATATCTCTGATTATACATCATGCAGTTGGGGATTGTTTTTCATATGGATCTGTTTCGGATGTAATGTACTACCGTAGGCAAAATTGATTAGATTAAATAACCACAGGGCAGAGTGGAATTAAAGAGAATATACATTGAAGTCACAAACCGAAGGACAACGCAATGTTCATGTCATTTCCGTATAGTTACGTGAGTGAATCTAGGCCAGGCCAATTTAAGACTGTATTTCAAGACAATCTTTGATAGAGTATCTCGTCTTTTTACATGTACAACAGCAACTCTCGTACAGATGTATGACAAACTGTATAGATTGTTGTTTTTTATATATCATCTTATATATATCATCGTATATATATATATATATATATATATATATATATATATATATACATATACGTACACACATATATATATACATACATATTATACGTAACCTTTATAATAGCAATCTCAAAAATATTTTTATTGGATGAAATACAATTTTGCAAAATAGAGAACAAGAATAAAGAATTCCAAATAAAACAAAACAAAAAAAACATCAGACAACGTCTGGACAATATTCCCCCCCAAAAAAGAAAACAAAAATAAAAAAAATAAATTTTAAAAAAAATTAAAAACAAAACAAAAACGAAACAAAACAAAATCAAAACAAAACAAGAAAAAAAATACAAATAAACAAAACAAAAACAAAACAAAAATGTTGCTCAGTGTATATAATCAAATATCAAGGTGATTTTTTTTAATACATAGGCTTATAGCAGCATACAATTTTTCAGCACTTAATAATAATAATAATAATAATAATAATAGTAATAATGTTAGTTTGTGTATTTCATAAATCGAGAGTTATCCATTGAGATTATTACTTAGGAAAAGGAAGGGTTATAATATATAAGCAGAGTCTTCAAAATAGGTACCGTAGAGATTACTTGTAGATGTAGGCCTAATACTGTAGTGTAATAGCATCAAATTTACCATTACAACTTACAGAATTTTTTCCTTTTGACACACCCTCTCGGCAAATTTCGGGAACAGGGACTTATCACTAGAACGGTGGAAAGATTGCATAACACCATGACAATATATACCGAACAACACACCGTTTTCTTCAACAGGCCTCATGTTCACAAGCATCAGATCACATGTCTTAAGCAATGTAATAAAATTGTTAAAATAAAGAGGCCTATAAGATATACCTAGATTTAAATATTATTAAAAAAAAAGTAAAAGAGGTTGAACAGTGTGATTTTATTACTGTTTAGTTTCGTGTCACTCATACATGGTGCAACACTCTTCTGATAAAATTGTCTAAGACGTAAACATTTTCTAGATTTAAATGTTATGTATATACAGCATCAACGATTAGTATCCAGTATAGACAGCCACATTTAGAAACATGTAACTTCAGAATAATATTCAAATAGAAGTCTATGTTACGCTTTGCGTATTCATTGGTTGTCTTTCGAGAGACTTGACTTGACATTTGTAGAGTTAGGTGTTACTTAGTCTAGATTTGTCGAACCCTGCGTTTTGATTTATTGATCTGAAGCAGTAGAAGTAAGGAGTAAAAGAACCGGGTGGAATACTTGAACAAACCAACTCGCCCAAAGGAAATATTAGTATTGAGATGCGCACAATTCAACCACATTGGCACTGCACTTCTTAAGCTAGCTAATCGGTTACCTAAATTATCTAAATACAAGATTAATTCCACTGTACTATGAAGCAATATATTTAACGTCCATCAAACATATACGCATTGGTAAGACACAAATCGCCTGGATTTTGCCATCGTTGTAAATTGTATAGTTTAATTGAATAACACCGTCTTGATGTAGAACGACTCAATTGGAATTACGCAAACTATTGATAATCGGCAATCAGCTAGCTGCGGGATATCTCTAAATTTAGGTCAAGATGGTGGAATATTCTAGCAGTTGATGAAAACCACGGGTTGAACGTATATCGACCACGTGATATAAGGGTTCATTTTTAATGTTTAGTTTTTATTATAGATATTACGAGTCTCAAAATGCTTCAGTTAATATCCCATGCACCTTATATGTATATTATACATCACATCTCATCAATGTTCAAGATCCTCAATATCTCACAAAGCGTCTTTCTATATTCAGTGGTAAATTATATGCAGAATAACCAACCCGGGAACAGTTAATCAAACATTGAATTATTCGCATGTTTCTACGTATGCCTAATAAAATTATTTCATAATTTCATTACAAAATTTAATTCATATTTGTAATTTTATAATGCTCTTTTATTTTCAGCAAGACCAGTTGCACCAATCATTATCAGTGATCCAATAGGCTTGATGATGTATAAGTACATACTACAGTGGCATGTGAACACCACGTTTAGATTACCGCCAGTCACTATGTTCAAAATACAATATAAATTAGATGCAGAAATAGTGGTAAGCATCTTGATACACGTATGATGAATCAATAGATACAGGTCTCCCTATAATTAAAGACCACTACAATTAAATGGAGCCTCTAACTAAAGACCACAAAATCTACTACGCCCCAGTCCCAGAAGTTGTCTTTAATTGGATTGAGACCTGTATATTTATATAATCATTTATTTATACCATAGTGTAGTTAATTTTGTTGTGTTGAATTTCTTGTTAAAAAACCGTTAATTTGGAAAGTTTTTGAAAACGACACCGTTCCACATTTAAGTACACCAGTTTAGAATCAGTTTGAAATATTCCTGGGGCCTACTTTTTATGTTTTGTATTCTTTAAACTGTTTTTTTTTTAAATATTTGTTCAATTTATATTTTATAATGAGAAGACGAAATAAGTGATATGATATAATAAGTATTCGGCCAGTGAAACCTGATTTAAAGGTCATATTCAAGGATAGCTGTAATTATAGCTACTTTACAGAAATTAAATTTCAAGAGAATTGGAACTCCAGCGTATTAGATACGATTTTTATATGTTTTCGCAATATTTTATTTCAGGTACTTTAAAATCACAAACCAAAGTATTGATGTAAATCATAAATTTATTTTACTTATTGTTACATTCAATTTTCATTAAAATATTTTAAGTTCATACTTTTTTAAAACCTTTTTCTTATAGATCAACAATGTGTTCTAAACATCTGACCTCATACTTGGACTTTGAGATCGTAGTCCAATAGGCTATGTTTTGTCCAAAACATTTTATCAATTTCTTTGCAGGAACAGAATACAAATAAGTCAGATAAAGACTCCGAATGGAAATATATCGAATACAACGTACCAAGAAAAGAAGATCCGCAGGAAAATGATACTTTTAACGTTACCTTAATAAACCTAAGAAAGAACTCAACGTATTTCGTATATATTGAAGCAATCAATGCTATCAAACCCTCAGAGAGAGGAGACGCTGCGTTCTTCCAATTCAAAACATCAGGTATTAGGTAACATTTTGAAATGACATCTTGTACATAAGTGTAACTGCTCCCAGTGTGTCTTGCAGTCAAATCATAGAAACCAACCATTAGGGTATATCACATTGCAGTTTAATAACCCTGGGCCGGCAGATTTGAGTGAATGAAATACAATGAGAGCCTGTTACCGAAGCTAATTATTCAACCTACATTTTTAATATTACCGCATGTTATTATTCATCTAACACTCTTCTCTTCTAATACTCAATTGTAATATTGTTATTTGCAGAGTTTAATCGCCCAAGAACGACTACAAGTTAGTATTGTATTTGTAATGAGATTGAATTATAATTTTGCAAATGATTAAAACATTTAAAATTACAAGACAAATGCTATTTATGGTTGTTAATGATCGTATGTTTTGTAGGCCTACCCGTTTATTGGAGACTTTGGCTGCCACGATTTCCACCAAAAAACCATATATGTTCTGTAACGCTGGCTAAATAGTTTTTCTTGTGCTATAATTAGCATCTTTTTTTTTGTTGGTGTACCTCCTGCTTTTGCTTGTCATTCCTATTACAATAGCAGTTCCTCTTTCCATATCACGTGTCCAACAAGGCTTTCTGTATTGTATAAAGTAGTCAGACTTCGTCCTTACCTGCTTACTCCTGTCGTACGTTCTCGATGATTGACTATTCAAAAATACCTTTCACATTGCTGCAGATATTGCCAACTATATTCTGGGAAACACATTTTTGAACGAATGATAATGACAATCCATCCCACCCAGCTTTAGGTGTTCTGTACATAATGATTGATTATTTTCAATAGACAGAATATTTAACCAAATAAGTTTTTTTTTTCTTTCACAGTTTTGCTATATGTTATATCAATACAACCCTATTAATACGTTCATAAATCAGAAAAAAAAACAAACATTTCTGTTTTTTTCCCCCAACAGCCTCAATAGTAGAAACAACAAACTTCACGCGAGTATCGAATAGAGAAATCACAAAAACAACTCCAGGTAAGAGAATTCCATAAAGGCCTATAGTATTAGTATTTCGGTAATTATTACTACATCTGCTGGTTTTTTAAGCTGATCGTCTACTATTTATTTATTCCTCAAACCAACGGGTTTAAAAAAAGAGAGAGTTTATTCTTCTAAAAATGCTTCATGCTGCTCGTTATGCCATGGAAATGCGCCCGATAAAATATGATAGAAGTGCGCCCCCTGCCACTTTGTACTGAAATAGAAGTGCGCCCCCTGCAACATTGTACTGCACTATTATAGAGTGTTACGTCACGAAACGCGTTCAACCGACGCCATTTTGTCCACTGACAAACAATTGATCCCAGTTACTAACGTAATTATAAGGAAGTTGTATCTTAATTTTTCTTTGTAAATGTTAATTGATGATTAAATGTGTATTCGATAACTAATACAATGCGAGCTTTTTGTGTTTTAAATACAATTTGATGGTAAATTATTAGGTTTTAAAACGCCTATTCCAGAAAGCCCTCTAAACCATTAAGATTATAAAGTCATTCAGGCGTAATTAACGGTAACCAGGTGTTGTGACGACACGACTGTGGTACTCTATGGAGTGCAAACAATAATGAAAACAAACAAACCGTGTGTGTGTGGGGGGGGGGGCGTGTGTGTGTGTTTACACCTGCTACATCAAGTTGATAGCCGGTACTTGCCCGTAATTGTTTTGTTTTTTTCGGTTCGGTACAAAATGAACTCTCTCTTCACCTTCTAGGCATTATATACACATTCACCCATCAAAGGAACTACAACAAGATTACAACTTAGATTTGGTGCAAAAATGGATGAGTGAAACAGCAGTAACTTAACTTAATTAATGACAAACCTTATTTTGGTCAACATGTTGTACTACTGCCCAGCTAACGGTCTATAGCAAGAAAACAGTCAAAGCAGCATGGCTGTATATTAGCGGATTATTGGTATCGGTCGAAAAGACCGAATCATCGAGGCCAGTGGTTTGGCAACACGTTGTTGAATTTACTTGAACCTGAAATACTAACCCATATGTCAACAAAATTCGATAAGAGGACGTAGTGTGGGGGACTTCTTGTAAATGAAAATATTGGCAGATTTCAGGAAAATATCAGAAATTCTTTTTTAACCAACTCTCTAATACAGAACACCCTTCATAAGGACAGTTTATGGCGAATCATGTCCTATGATTAAGATTATAGCCTGGCCTACATCCAAGGATCTACAATCTTCAAAATTATCTGTTCACAGGCTATTGATATTTTTCTATAATGAAAATCTTTCATTCAACTTTAAAATTAAGGATGCTATTTTCCGCCTATCTATATCTGCCATAGCCGTAAAAATGTTGGACCTCTGCCTCAACCACGGTGGGGCTGAGGTAGGTCTTGATCTTTCATCTGTAAAATCCCCCTCCTGGTCCCCTCTATTTCGAATTTCTGGATCCGTCTCACTGATTAATTATTTTAGAGGTCAACTGTCGATGTTGAGTTAATGCAGTACATTTGGACAATATAATTTCAATATTTAAACTTCCTATTGAAAATCGCAACGGGGTAATAATCTATAGCCTCTTAGAATATGCATAGATAATATTGTTCCATATTCCTTGTGTATACATTAAATTGGCTAGTAGTCATACAGTCATACTGATAACGACTTAATGTCTTCCGTACTAAATCATCATTGAACGAAAAAAACTGAATAAGTTTGTTCGGTGTAATTGGAAGTAAAAAATGTATTCGTTCCCTTGTAGGCATTTGTCTCATTTTTTGTTAATTATTTCTTTCATAAAGCATTGAAAATTCTTCTGGTTTTTTTTTTTTTTTTTTTTTTTTTTTTGTATTCTTATCTTTATTCGCTAAAAAATTATTAGGCCTGTTATTGCTATTAGTATTATCATTATCATCATCATTATCAATAAAAGATAGTCATCAACTTTATCATTACGCTTTCCAATACTATTATCAATGCCTTTGTCATCATTATTATCATCATCACCATCATTATTATTATCAATATTTTCATTAGTATTATCATTAAAGATATCATCATCTCATCTTCAACATCTTCACTTTTGTCTTTATCTTCATGATGATGGAGTGGAGTTATATATCTTGGTGGTAAGATGCTTGCCTTCCAATCACAGGGACTTTGGTCCCATTTCTGTCACAGTAACAGGATATTTTTTTTCTTATCCGACAAAAACAACTCCACTCACTGAGCCTCACAATGAGACATAGTTGCTTAGGCCTACTAGCGTCAGTCTCCTAGAATTTCATATAAACATTGCTTGCTTCATGTCACTTACAAGTTTACTTATTTTACGAAGGCATTATGTAGACATCAATCGTATATGCATCGAAATTGATGATCTTAGGTAAATCCAATTGAAAATTCTATCATTATGTCACTTTCGTTTACAAGTTTCAGAATAATTCGAATCTCATATTAAGCCTCTATCTATAATTAATTCGTCAGTCTTTCGACTCAAAATGCCTTTGATAGTGTCGTGAACGTGTGATTCTCAATGCAAATTCTGAACTATCTTGTACATCATTGACGCCAACAATTAGTAAGTCCTAGCAATATTAGCATAACCATGGGTTTAAGAAATGCTATTTTTGCATTCCCTACGACTTCAAGTCATTATGATTTTCAAACCTGTATTAATTCTGTTGTGGTTAAAATGTAAATTTCTATTTTATATCTATTCAGGATAGATTCAAGATTTTACATAATAGACGTATGGTACGGACGTGCTATTAGGCCTATAACCCTGCAGTGACTAAACAGTTACTGGCATACCATAGTCAGAAAAACCTGGTTTTATTATAGGCCAAAAAACTTCCGTGTTTGAATGGTACACAATTTAAAAGCCATATGCATAATCGGCGTTTTTGGCAAATACCAAATCCGATAGTTTCATCATTCATGATAGTATAAAAATATATGATAACACATGCATATACTAATAGAATTTGTAGGTCTCCTGGCATGCCTACATAAATGGAAATTATGCCAACGAGTGTACACTGAGAGACCTTCGGATATAATGCCATGTTTTTCATCTTACAAATAACGATAAAAACTGCCTTTTGTTCAGCGTTTATCTTACCATCAATCTAAATGACTTATTTTATTACCAATATTGCAATTTACCTTGATACAAGTAATATTACTATCGCCATCATCATTACCAATATCATTATCATTATCATTACCGTTACTATTGCAAATTACCATTGCCTTTACCATAAATTGTATTACTTTAAGGCTTGCTACCAATTATTTCTATATCATTATTGTTACTATTGTTATTAAAAGTTATATCATTATGTTTATTGTAAAGTTTTATTATCTCGGATACTATTCAACTCCACCCTGTAGGAGAAAACTATAGGCTTTAGTTGTGCGCATAATTATAGTGTCGAAATCCTTTTTTTTAAATTGAAAATTTCCTTGATACAACTAACCACAATTACTATCACCATCGTTATTACCATTATCATTACTATTAACGTTACCATTGCAATTTACCATTGCCAATATTATTACTTTGAAGCTTATCATTATCATTACTATTCTTATTTCTATCAATTATTTCTATATTATTACCGTTACTGTTGTTATTGAAATTTATAGTATTATGTTTATTGTAAAGTTGTATTACCTCGGATACTATTCAACTCCATACTATAGGAGGAAACTATAGGCTTTAGTTTTGCGCAAAATTATTGTGTTGAAATCCTTAATCATAACCACCTCTATACTTTAGTAGATGTTTTCATTCATTCAGTAAATATTTGATAATATCGAATAATGAAAATAATGTACTTGAACTTACTGTCAACGTTCGTCACGTTACGTACAACATTAATAAGACGCACTGAGCACCAGGTCAAACTCTTAGATAAGTTAGAAACGGAGTCTCCTTTAAACTGGGGTTCTCTGTCCTCCTCCAAAGTGAGCAAGTTAAGTAACAAATTTAAACCTCAAATTTTCTGGACATAAATCAAACCTTCTTATCCTAGATAAAGAGGATGATTGCTTCACATTGGTTCAAAAGAGGAGCAAAAGAAGCAATTTCGTAGAGCATAGTGAACCTTAGTTTGAACCGCAAAGGATACTCTCGTTTCCAGCTCTCTAGGAATTTGACCAGGTGCTCTGCGTGCAGAAGATTCATTGTTACTAGACATCCACTCGTCACAAATCTAACGAGTCAGATGCTTGAAGACGTTCACCAGAACTGGACGAAAAGTCACTCAGCACTAATAGCATGTTCCAGTATTCGAATTATTCATTATTAAATACTATCGCCTTTATCCATGATTCAATGGAACTATGAAGCTTGGTATAGTAGCCTATAAAATCAAAATTTGGTAACTTAGCCTATTTTGGTGAATAGAGTTTCACCAACGATGCGTCTCCTTTCGTGGAGAGACCTCACAATTATCTTGTATATTATATGATATATATGTGCCTAAATTTTTATCCTTGTTTATATCTGTTTTAGGAGCTGTACCATCTAATAAGTTTTCAACAGATTTGCGTAATAAAACTAGAAAGCCATCAACGTTCGATGCACCAACAAATCCAAGTCCAGGTAACGTTTAAGGATACATTATTAGAAATAGTAGCCGCATGAGATTTGGATATTATGCCCCGGAGGACTACAATGTCTCCGAATCTAATGAATATATACGGATTTATAGTGATAAACGACCAATGGTCTGTTGATGTATGCCTACTTCAATTATACAGTTTTCAATTAAACGTTTAATGGCGTGTAGTAATTTAATTCAGACTATCCCTTGCGTTCGTTACGCTTTATCGTTCAGTCCATATTATGAAGGGAATACGGCTCAGACTACTGAGCGCGTTTGAGCTGTCGTTCTAGATTATCGTCTGTGGCTTGTTATTGCAATAACAAGAGTTGTGAAAAATCAACATTATTTAGAGATGAACTATCTCTCATGGCTTAAGGATCCGCCTAATTATGTTTTCTTACCAACAAATGATCCCGGTCCAACCTCCACACTGCCTATTCATCTTAATGACATTGACATCGCTCTGAATAATAGTAATAATTATTTGGGCTCTAAATTGCATCGCTTTTTGTTCGTATGGGCACGTATAATTTCAATAATTGACTTGAAGATTTGTTGCCAACGGTAATTCTAATCATGTAAAAATTGTTCTATCCTGCATTCGACCTAGTTTCACATCAGATAAAATACAAAATTGAATTAAATATTGAATTAAATCGATAAATGGGCTGCTCCTTAATATAGAATGTTATTAATATGTTATCATTTCTTGCCAAAAAAGATGTAGCACAACATCTATAAGGTTGACGCTAAGTAACATCTCTCTGGTAGTAATGTTGTCAAATACGTTAGACCTAGAACTACATGAGATTAAAATTGCAAAATTAATTAAGTATTTAATTAAATCGATAAATAAGCGAATTTGATTGGTCAGAGATGCTATATTTAACTTCTAACCAATAAGATGCAATATAAAGTCTCTTTACTAAGGTTGACGCTATCTCTCTTGCTGGAATGCTGTTCTATACGTCAGACCTAGTTTTACATCAGATGAAAATTAGAAATTTAATTATATAGTTAATAAAATCGATAAGCGGGTTGCTTTTAAATACAAAATTTGATTATATCTTCTAACTATGGCTTAAGAAGCAGCTCATTAAACAATCATGCCTTGGTAAGAAAACATAATTAGATGGCTCCTTAATTTTCTTCTCTGTCGATTTTTCACAACTCGTGTTATTGCAATGACAAAGTGTGGATAATAATTTAAAACGACTAGATGCAGTGTAAAATCATGATGCAGAGGGGACGCTATTTAACATTTATTTGGTAGTAATACTTTAGAACTAGATTTACATAGGGTAAAATTTAAAAAATTGAATTAAATATTGAACTTCGACCAATAATTTAGTTGCTCTTGAATATTTACTTTGCTTACTACGAAATGCAATTATATCTTTCAGCTCCTCAAACAATCAACGATTTCGAAATTTCCTTTATAGTATTTTTGCATTAATTCGTATGAGTAGGCCTATGTATTCCCTTTAGATGTTAAAGGGGGAGAAGATTCCCTGCCTAAGAGGACAAATTCACGAGAGCAGAAATCCGTGAAACGCCGGAATTTTGTCAGTTTACGTTATTTCAATTTCGCCGTATATCGGCGATATCAAAGGGGTGGGCCTTAGCGGAATGGGTAATTATTAGTTAATTGTTTCGAAATTTACTTATTACTCTGGTAAAAGTAATCTTATAAACACGACAGCTTCTGCACTACCATCTTTTTATTATTAGACTTCATCATGGTGATGTGTTAACCGAACGTTAGTTTACAGTTGCCACAGGCCTTTACATTCAAGAACCATAGGCTTAAACGCTTCAAAGATCATTTAACAAGACAGAGCAGGTGTATTACGTGTGTTTGCCTTTGGCACTCAGTTTATATCATTTAATTAAACATTTAATTCATTCTTCGTAAATGCCAAGTGCAACCTAACAAACAGTCAATATTATATGAAGAAGCATGATCCAGAAAAAAAAATGTATATAGTACGTTAAAGAACGTGCCCGCGAGATCCTGTAATGTCGTACTTAATTTTCTTTGGATAGTTGTGATTATGTTTACAATACAATGAAATGCTTATTGATTGTTGTGTCTATAGATAATTAGACAGCAGCTAGACCTGTGTTCCATCGGTGCCTGCAATATGTAATAATGTAATTTATTAATGTTTTTTGCGACTCTGGGCTGCTTACAGTAGTAACAACTTGCGAGAATTCAGCAAGAGACAGCATCAGTCTCCTGCAATCCGTTTAAAAGGAAATTAAACGGTTTTTAAATGATGCATGCTAGGTATTGTACGTTATTAGCTCTGAGTGTCATGTGGTCTAAACGTGGCTTAAACCTACCGTTTCTGGAACAGCGAATCATAAACCATAAACCAAAATACAGTAGAACCTCTATTAAGGGGACACTTTCAAGAGCAAAATAGTGTCCCCTTTATATGATTCAGGGGACACTAACCAAGAACGTGAAATTGTACCCTTAATAGGGGTTTTTGGCATGACAGAGATTCAGTTACAGTTGAATTATAACTAATTTTAACAATAATTTGCAATTCAAAAACAATTTATGATATGAACTCGACAAAAATGTAAAAAATGTACTTAAAGTGACAAAAGTTGTATATGTTGCTGATTGTTTCTTGATTTGAGTGCAATATTCGAGTTAATATTCAGCTTTCTATTGGATGCACAAGATAAAAAATAGTAACGACTTAGAAATCAGGCTGCAGGTTATACAGTATAGATTATATGAAAATATACAAAACAAGAAAAGATTAATGGTCAAAATTGTCAAGATTGTATTTACATAAGTAACACGCACTTGGCGCACACCAATATCCATTCAAAAGATTGAGAGAAAAATGTTTTGGCTCTATGTTAAATGCTCACTCGGTCTCATGAGTAACAGGGAGAATTTTTAACCTGTTACTTTGCTAAAGTCAACTAGGGAGGTGTTCGGGAATGCGCTAGAGTGGTGGCGGATGGTGACCCCTTAGAGTATTTGCCTTATTCTGCCAGTTTGGTACATTTGTTTGTTCGTTTTGTTTGTTTGTTTCTTTGTTGTTTTTTTTTGTGAAGCACAGAAACTTTTAGCACTATGAGCTATATAAGTTAAAGTAGAACGTATGATTGTAACTTCCATTATGATATTATTTTAATGAAATTTATTTATTTTTTATTTATAGAAACTGTGTGGATGACACCCGTGGTATATACAAGTAATAATGACGCTAGACACATCGTATTATCATCGTCCATCGCTGTTCTCGTTGGCGTCGTCATATGCAAGCTAATTCTTTTATGAAGCCCGTGAAGTCATGTCAATACCTGTACCTTTGTACATAATTCAAAGAATTCTATACAAAGTTATTTCAATTACCTATGAGATACCAATGACGTGTACATTATTGTGAATATTATCGAGTTCGAATTTGATGCAAGTGTTTGAATGTTTCAACTGAAAATGCCAAGCAATTATGTTATTTCATAATCACAGTGTTGTAAGCCATCCCTCTTAATATTACTGAAAGCAAAACTTATCTCCGTAAACAACTCTACTCAACATCACAATGACACCAAAAGGCTTTCATCAATTTTGTTTGGCAGTGGCATTGTTTCAAATAGTATCCATAGCAACAATGACGATCATGTCATATTATTAGTATGTAAGATTCCCAAGTGAAGTTGATAAATTCAAAACAGTGGAGACGAGAATATTGTTTAGCCCAGAAGATAAATCCAATACACAACAAAGCAGCAAGATTATTGATAACCCTGTTTATTTCGTGAGGTTCTTAATGCTATTTTGGTTGTTTGTGATGTTAACGGGTCGAAAACTATGAGGCGCCAAGTGTAAATTTATTATTTAACACAATTATTTATATATAATCCATTATTTAACATATACTTAAATAGATCGCTCATTATCTATATATAATACATTTACGTCTAAAAGATTATATGTAAATAATTGCGTTAACGTTTTCATTATGTATATATAATTAGTGTATTTATATCATTATATATAAATAATGAAAAGGTAACCAAACATTATTTATATATAATAAGGTTACTGGTTTCATTATATATTAATAAGGAACGGGTAACACATCATTATATATATATAAATAAAGAAAAGTAACTTACAATTATTTATATATAATAAATCCACTGATTCCATTATATATAAATAATGAAAAGGTAACAAATCATTATATATAAATAATGAAAAGTAACTTACAATTATTTATATATAATAGGTTCACTGATTTCATTATATATAAATATCGAATTGACTTCAAATTCATTATATATAAATAACTGCTTTTACATTTCCTTATATGTAAATAATAGCTGTCGCAAAACCATTATATGTATATAATGCTTGGAATTTAAAATCATTATATGTATATAATGCACAGGTGTTATCGAGTCAAGGTCATTATATCTAAATAATGGTTTCTTACTGCCAATTATATATAAATAACCGTTGAGGTCGAGTGTCATTATATATAATTAATAACATTGTAGGAAGCCATGGTTTATAAATAATTCGTTTTGCAAATTACGAAGTAATAAATATTCATCAGTGCTCTAAAGTTACAAATAGGGCCTATTGTGTGTGGTCTGCAGGTAGCAGACCATCACTAATCGAAAATGGAACAGCAAGGGATACAGCAGATTATTTACTGTACTGCAAATTTCAAATCAATTAAAAGAACCCAAAAGTGAACGCCACGGCCCTCAGAATCTCGATTTTGAGCCTGTCGAATCCGGGGCAAGGTCCAGGGCAATGTCCGGATCAGCTGCTGGTGATAGGCATAATACTGAGGTTCATCAACTTTGGGGTTCACTTTAGGGTTCTCTTAATTGATTTGAGATTTGCAGTACAACATCTATGATCTGATTTCTTAAACGGGCACACCAAACACTGTCTATTTACATGACGTAGGCCTACATCTTGTAGGCTAATAAGGATCCTTAAATTTGAGCGACGACGTGACTCTAGAACGGATTCACTCAACCGTGACCGTATTACTTTCTCTGCACAAGATTCGACTCGACCAAACTGCGTTCTAGAAATCGTATGGACCCCAATTAAATATGGCGCGCAATAAGCGCAATAAAAAGTGTGTAACTAAAATTAGGGCTTGGAACCAAGGCTATCGCATAGAGTACTACAGTGTTACGTCACGATACCACGTGATACTACTACAAAATGCGTTTAACCGGACACCATTTTCGCCACTGACAAACCACTGAGATCAATTGCTAACGTAATTATTAAGATGTTGTACCTTAGTTTTTCTTTGTAAATTTTAATTGATAATTAAATTTGAGTTCGATAACTAAATGCAATGCGAGCTTTTGTGTTTTTAATAAATTTTGATGATAAATTATTAGGTCAATTTCGGAAAGCCTATTTTAAACCATTAAGATTATGAAGTCATTCAGGCCTAATGAACGGTAGCCAACGTCTGGTTGACAACAAAGAGCGCCACCTGGTGTTGTGACGACACGACTGTTGTACTCTATACACAGAAAACTTTATGTGACGTCATTACGTTCCAGGTGTTCTACCATCGTCATGCAATCGAAAGCTCCCTACTATCAGATGTTTGTCAGAATAATAGACAGTGTTTGTTGAGACTGTCGAGACTTTGATAGTGTAACTAGTGTAAGCTTATTTTAGAAATATCTGATCAAATATTAAGTGAGAGTGGGTGCCTGTTCGCGAGGAGTGAACGACGTATCAGACGTTAAAAAACTCATTCAGTCAAGTTACGTGGGAGGGAAAGTTCATTGCGTATACAAAAGTGCATTGGTTCGACCGCACTACTAAATTGGTATAAGAGAAAAAAATAATGACATTAGCATAGAATTATAACAAAGCTTGTTGGTATAAAATGGCGTCATTTAAATACGCAAACTTAACTTGTCTTCTCTTTAAAGTAACACGTCACTTGTTGCGTTTTATTACTTGTGTTAATTTGTGAACCGTCAGGTCTAATTACGGCGTATATAAATTGGCGTCTTTTTTACAAACTTCAGTGTTAAATTTGATATCACTTGTCTGTTTTCAAAGTTTGACGTTTTGATTGAGTTTTATTTTGGTTTCTCGTGATTTATACAGTTAAAAATACAAAATTCAGTTAAAATTTCAGAAATCTGGATTACGCATAAGTCGAACAAAATAATTTTAACTATGGGGTCCCGAGTAGACACTACTTGTTGTTATTAACTGTGAACCGTTTATTATAGTGATGTTAATGAAGTTCAATACCTGCTGGTGCCCTTCTTAGGTAAGATAATTTACTCATGGAAGAATTAGTCTAACTAATTCCTCCAAGCTCTAATTACATCGTGCTTCAGATTGGTCGTTAATCCGTTGGTTTGTGTGCATGCAGTGACGAAAATGAACTCGGTGCATTAAAAGGAAAGGAAATTTTCCTAGGTTTATTGACCATGTTGTGGTTGAACCGGCGTAGGGTGGGGACTGATAAGCTGTTCGAGACTAGCTGAATCTAGCCCAAAGAAGCACTGGTGTGTTAGTGTCCAAGGAAGTAAGCACTATTGCGCTTGGAAAAACTCGGCAATTGTTCTATTTTAATATACATGGCCTATATTTATATATGTAGGAATGCCAATATTAAACAGGCCTACCTCGTGATTATTATGCATTTTTCAACGTTAGTGCCGCTAATTTTCTTAATTATCATCATTAAGCATACTGCGTCTGTTTATAAGTAATGCTAAACATGTTATCAGCATGTTTTTCGACCATTATACGAATACATGATACAATATCTATGTCCATTATACTATTTGCATAGGCGAATGCCCTTTAATTGACTGGTAATGATATCTTATTGGGTGTTAACATATTTATTCCTCTAAAATTATCAATTTCAATGTTTTTTTTCTGATTTTATCACAGACGGATTGTTTTTTATGTGTTCATCCTGATTGTCCAGGCTTTTTCACACTCAGAATGGATTTATTTTCTTGCAATGGTTTCAAAGACTTTTAAAACTGCTATACTTCGTGATATTTGTCTGCTGACGCTTACACATAGTATGGTTTATTTGCAATTGATTAGGCGAAAAAATATAGTCCCTATAATGATAATGGCTCGTAAACCTACTTCGTAACGTAATACGCCACAAATCGCATTTCAAATGTTCCAGTCGTAAAGTTGAATTGTATACGTAAATACATTTTAGACGGTCTGTTACTTGATCATATACGATGTTGATGCCATTACGATTACGTGTTATACGGATAAAAAGCTTCAAAAACTTTGCCCTAATTCATGACTTCATGTATAATATTAAAGTTTCAGTTATTTAGCTGACGGAAATGAGGTTAACAGACGCACACTGATGAGTTTATATAATAAACACGATCATGATTTCAAATTAGTTCGCTAATCATTATTCATTTATGTATAAAAAATCAATTTGTACCTTAGTTATTAAACACCTTGACTGTGTAAACTTCCTGCAATAATTTGATTTTTACCAAATTATGTAGATTTGTGAGGTCACGGTTTGCCATGTAGGGCAATTCTTGATCGGACATGTAAGTCCGCCCTCTACGTCACAATTCATTTTTAATTTCATAATTATTTATTTAAATTTTCTGCCTATTATTTTTCAGTTAGATAGAATATGTAATGGTGAGTGTTGATTGACTCGGATAATACCGAATTAATGTTCATAACCTAACGTCAGGTCAGTGTAATCCGGTCCACCATTAACCATGTATTTTTTTTTACATCTTTATAACTTTCTCCACTAACAATGTTACTGTGTAGTTAATTAGTCTCCCTGCTAGGAGATAAATGAATAAAAAAAAAAAAAAAAAAAAAACACAGATAAACAGAAGAAAACAACACGTTTCCTTGTCTTGAAACATGACACTACATCACAGGCCCATTGTGAAAGTGGTTTAATGATGCCATGGTCTTAAGATTACCTCATACTCCACATACCACCCTACCCCTTTCCACCAAATTTAAGGCTGTGTAGAAATCTGAAAAATTCTGTATAGGCATCAGCTCAAAACTAAGTTGGGGTTCTGAGGTGTTTTAGAAACTCTATCTAAAAATGTCCTTCATCCCTGGCCCCTATCTACTTCAAATCCTGGATTTGCCACTGAAATTCGTTACCGGTATCTTGTTTTACCCCTTGTTTCTGTATTGCCAGATTTAGAGTATGAGGACTTTTTTAAATGTATAACTATTTTTTTTTTTTTTTGGAACATTAAGGAAAATAATAATTATAGGCTGCTCTTGTAAATAAGTATTTTCTCCCTGCTACCAAATAATTATAAAGAACATTTAATTTTGAAATTAGGCCTACAAATGGTATAATGACAATCTAAGAATGCGATAAGTACGAACACCTGGTTAAATTGAAGGATACCTCAATATGTTTTTAAGGGGTGTGTCTAACTTTTATTTACGTCGTTGCAGAAAATAATGAATGAAGTACGTGTTGTGGTAAACTGTATAATTTGTATATTAGAGGAATATAAATGCTGCAATTTTAGAACTAGTTAAGTTAACTATCTATCAAAAAAATTCATAGGGGTTGAAATGATAAATACAAATTAATACTTAACAAGAAAAATAAATGTGGTTGACCAACAGAGGGCGCCATTAAATAAAACTGTATTCTAATTTTGAGAAACAAATCAATTTCGTTTGTTATCTATACATTTTGATTATCCATTGATATACTGTAGTAGAATATGTATAATAATTGCATTTATTTGTACTGAAATTAAACATTTTTTTGCTTACATTTTGACTCATTTTATTCATTTTAAAGATAATCATTTATTCTTCGCGTCACCACTCTCGCTCCTCTCCGTTTCCTGACTTCTTTATCGTTCCTTCCTGCATGTAATTCTATACCAGATATAACACTGATCTACTTCTTCGTAGAAAATCTAACGAAACATTTGTTAATTAACAAACATAATATTGTTTACAGAATATCACAATTTAGGTGACAAGAAACTCATTTTGAGAATGGGA